GAAGAAGAAGAAGAAGAAGAAGAAGAAGAAGAAGAAGAAGAAGAAGATGAAGATGAAGATGAAGATTTCTTTATTAGGAAACAGTTATTGTTTCAATATTCTCCGAAAGATTCCTCAATTAAGACTTTGACTTGAATAAAAGTCAGATTACTAACACTCTAATAATTGACAGCCTCAGTAAAAAAGAGATGTTAACTTTGAATGTAATGTTTTTAATGCTTTGTTTAAACATTTAATGCATACTGTAAAGTTGCAAACCTCAAAGTAATATGAATAGAAAACCTGAGTGAAAAAGGAAATCTCACCTCCTTATTTTGATAGATTATAGTAACTTTTACTGTATTTAGTTGTACTATTTTATTTTCATGTTTTTGTCTTGCTGTAATCAAGTTGTCTTAGTGCAATCAAGTACAGTAAACCTGTGGTCACAAACGCTCCTGACCATGACCTAATCGGGTTCCGACCAAAAAATTCACAAAATTTTTGAATCTGGTCACGAACACATACTCGGGTGGCGATCAAACATGACCCCTGACCCAGAAATTCCTGAAGATGAAAATTAGAAAACTAAGAAATCGCCAAAGTTATGGAATGAATTATGGTTAGTGACTAGAGGTTCTACTGTACACATATGATATAAATATTGTATTTTAAAATATACATTCTGCAGTTTCTCATACTTGTCATTTTTGCATTCTTCATTTGAAGACAAAATATTTCTCTTACCATAAATAGTAACTAATATTTTCATTAATTGCAATTTTAATTAAATTTCAGAAAACCATAGATTGGAGTCTTCATATCAGAATCACTTAATTTTGAAAGTCTTGGTGGTAGGTATAATTGAGGCATTTTGCTTATGATTCGTAATATCTCTGCAGAAAGCCACTGAAATGAGTTTGACTCTAGAGATTGCTGTTTTTGGTCAGAAAGGAACTTCTGTATAGATCATGGGTATCCAACCTTTTGACTTGCCTGGGCTGCGTTGAGTGAAAAGGAATTGTCTTGGATAACATAAAATATATAATTTAGTTTATATAATATAATATATAATTTAAATGTTTAACGTTATGTGATTTATATACATTATCACATAATGTTAAACATTTACTATCTTGTCAGGCCACATTACTAGCTGTCCAGGGTCACCTGCAACCCACAAACTGCAGATTCTTTATTCCTGATGTAGATGTAGGGCACAATTGCAAATTTTAATTTTCTTTTTAGCCACACTTAGCCTTCTTCAAAAGCTACAGTGGAAAATGTGAGCTTCTTTGCTTGTATGACATGTAAAGGGATGAGATATTGCAACTAAGGCTGTGAGTATCCTGTGAATCTGCAAAAGTGCCAGAGAAGTTCAATATTGGGTTCTGGGTTGGTACTGTTTAACTACACACTTTCCAAAGGCATGTGTCTTTTATCTAATACCTAACAGAATTTTTTAAAGCTTATTATTTTCAAGTAACTTCTGCTAGGCTCAGAGAAACTGCCAGATTCATAATCATAAAATTGCAGTGAGAAAGTTAGATTGTCATGGGATCAGTTATGTTGTAGGATTTGCAATGGGTTTTCTTCAAGTGTTCTCTTAGGATGGAGTACCTCTCCTGATATTGTTACTTAACTGTTAAAAGGGTGGGATCTAATAATATCTGGACATCAGAGATTTCACATTTAGGAAATGTAAACTCTAAAATCTTCCATTATTTGTTATATATTTTGAAAATATATAAAAAGTTACTTTTATGATACTAATTAATATTTTAAAGAGAACCTAAAAACTATACTGAACTATACTTAATTCATTGTTACAACTAAAAAATTTATACAGCTGATAATGAAAGATTATTTTCCAGGTCTGTATAATTTGTTAAAAAACTAATAACACAGTACTGGAACATAATCTTTCATTTATATATTTTTCTATACCAATTCTTATTAGGAAGAGTAATGTTGAGTAAAAATTGAAAGCTAGTTTATTTTCCAGGAACAATTATTATCTAGAATGCTTATGAGTTGACCACCAAAGATCAACTTTCAGATAATTATTTGGGGGCAAATCTTTGCTTTCCCATCAAGTAAAAACTGTTCCACATAGTGCAGTAAAAGATTACAGAGCTAATGGACTTCTAATTCTCCCTCGAGCCGCTCGGAGCATCCAGAGAGTGGGATGTGCTTCTGAGTCCTCTTCTTGCAGGCTGAGCTTTAGATGAGGAAACGCTCCGCCCCCTCACGTGACACCGCGCAGCGTCTCCCCAGTCTTTTGCTCAGCCTCGAAGAGTCAGGCTGTTAGTGAAAAGAGCTCCTTGGCTGATTCAAAAAAGGAATTTAATTCCTGGCTATTTTTCTTCTTCTAAGGTTTGAAATTTCCTTTCCTCCTCCTGCGCAAAGGGTTGGGACTTAGGGGGATTCTCCCCTCGCCCCTAGGGGCCAAAAATATAACTAAAAGCGGGCGGGTTCGCAGCGCTTCGCGCAACCCCCCCCACTCCTTCATCGCGTCGCTGCCTCTGTGCTGCCTTGTGGCACGCTTTCTCTTGCTGGATTCCCCCCCACCCCAAACGCCGACCGGGAAGGCTAGTCGCCCCTTAAGAGCACCAGGTGCGCTGAGCTAACCGGACAAGCCCTCCCTGCCGTCCCAAAGGCGCCCGACATAGCTCAGCTCGCGGCCGCCATCTTGGCGCCATTTTTATTGCCGTTTATTGCTGCTGCGGTGATTACAAACGTTCCAGAGCCCTTGGGTCAAGCCTTTTACAATTCTTAGCGATCTTTCTGGCTTGCTTTTATTACTTTGTTGGCCTCCCGCAGCCTTCATCGGGGCGAAGTTGCAGCCCCCCCCCCCTCTGGTTGTTTGTTGTCTGGAGGCCTGCTGCCAGAGGCCTTTTCCGCTCTAGGCCTCAGGCGTTTATTTGGCTAATCCGGCCTGTACCGAGATACAGTTATAGTTCCTTCCTGTTACGGTTACTGTTTATATAAATAATAATAATAATAATAATAATAAAAATAAAAAAATTATATTACAAAAAGAAGTAAAAAAAAATTTTTTATACAAAGATTTTCTTGTAGTTATATGTATATATACGGATAACCTGTACATACAACTGGTGTAAAAAAAAAAGAGCTTAAATAGAAATCAAAATATATATATATCTGTACATATCATATTACATAGATACTTTACTGTCTGTTATCTCTGTACATATCAAATTCCAAAAGGGGGAGCAGGCCAGCTCAATCCTCACCCGGCCCTATCCACAGGCCTATTCCAGGCGAGCCAACCGCCCTTACTAGTATTCATTATCTAACATGGCAGACGACAATCTCTCTAAACGTCCTTCTTTGAAGGCTAAGGCAAAGTCCCACTACTTGCGCAGGCAGGACAAGGAACCTAAGGGCTCTAGACAGGACAAGGAACCTTCCAAGGCCTCCCAACGTGACGCCTTAAGGCGCCATAAAGCGTTGGAAAAGGAGTTTGACAGGCGATCAAGGGAGTCCCGCTCGGGGCCTTCAGCCCTTCCTTCTCCCACCCCCCTATCACTACTCAACCTCTTCCCCCCCAGACCCTTCTTCCCTACCTAGGCGCAGTCCACTTCAGGGTCTTTCGACCCCTGGACCTCCGATTAGACGGACCCCTGAAGCCACCTTTACACCCATGGCTGCTGGCCTGCGCCAGGAAGAACCCTCTACCTCCGAGGTTCCAGCCCACATCAGGGCTTGGATGGAATCGGCCATCCGCCAGGGCATTGCAGAAGGCCTACAGCACATGACCAGATCTGGCTACTCTCCACGAGCTTCCGAGCACAACTCTTTATCCATCAGATCCCTTCCACAGCCGGTCCCTCCGGTTGATCAGGTACTCTCTCAGAGGGGCAGCCCTCCTCCGGTTGAGGCCCAGGAGGAGGAGGAAGGGGACTTTGGGGATTTCAGGGAAGAGGAAGAGGACTCCCGGATGGGATCCTCCCGTTACAGTGAACCCCTCTTAGAGGCGGACATCATGGAGGGGGAGATGTCGGAGGACGAGGGGACCTCTCCCGACCAACCCGCATTTGGGGGGCTGTTCAAGCCTCAAATGTTTAAATCCCTCCTCCTTAAGGCCAAGAACGTCTCTGGTCTTCTTCCCCAGTCTCCTACTGACCTCCCCCCCGCCCCAGAGGGCCCAGAGGACTCCATTTTCACTCAACCAGTGGTGGAGGCTGAGGTCATCCCGTCCCCACCCATCTTCGTAGACCTAGTAGCGAAACAACTTACTTCCACAGGGACCCCTCCTACACCCTCTAGCCAAGACAAGAGATTCTTTAATCTCGATTCGGCAATGTCTAGCCTTCTGAACATACCGGAGGTTGATGATCCCATTGTGGGCCTTGCTTCCTCCTCTACCCCCAGTGAGGCCTTAGAGGCCTTGAAACCTGAGGACAAGCGGACGGAATTGGCGTTGCGCAGGGCCCATCTATCCGACGCCTGGGCCATTAAATCGGCTACGGCCGCTTCATTCTTCACAAGGTCCTCTATCCGCTGGCTACGTCAGCTCAGGGAACACATCCCCGCGTCCAGTGTGAGAGCACACCAAGACATAGCGAAGGTGGTGGCTGCAGCCGAGTTCTCGGCTGACGCCACTTACCAATCGGTAAAGTTCTCTTCCAGGGCCATCACGTTGCACGTCACGGCTTGCCGCCTGCTGTGGCTCAAACACTGGCTGGCAGATGTAAAGAACAAGGTCAAGCTGGCCACTGCTCCCATCAAGGGAGATAAACTGTTTGGCCCGGCCTTGGAACCCCTGCTGGTCGAGGGCCGCAGCAAGAGAAAGTATCTGCCCTCCCTTTTTCGAAGGTCAGAGACAAGGGGCTCACAGCCCTTTCGGAGGGGCTTCCCCCGCCCCTTCTACCAACCCCCCTTCCCACCCAGATACCCCAGGCCCCCTTCCTTCCGATCCCAGGATCGTTCGGACTCTGGCGACAGAAGCAGACGCGGCGGCAACTATAAGAGGCCTTTTCGGGGATCGGGAGGAAGGCCCTACCGCCGAACTAGATAGAGCCTCTCCCTCCCTCCCCATTGGCGGCCGCCTCAGTCACTTCGCTGCCCAATGGGACAAATCCACATCCGATGCATGGGTTAGGGACACCGTCAGGTTTGGTCTCGCCCTTGAGTTTAGGTCCACCCCCTCTGATTGTTTCATCCCATCCCCCACCTCAAGGGATCCCGCCAAACGTGCACTAATGGATGCAGCCATCCATCATCTGCTTGACATCCAGGCCATTCAACCCGTCCCACCGGCTCAGAGAGGAAGGGGATTCTATTCCCATCTCTTTGTGGTGCCCAAACACTCTGGGGGCTGGAGAGCCATACTAGACTTGAAACGGCTCAACCGTCACCTTATCCAGCGCAAATTCAAAATGCACACCTTGCAATCAATTCTCTTAGGTACCAGGTGGGGAGACTGGTTATCTTCCATAGATCTTTCGGAGGCATACCTTCACATCCCAATCAGGCCCTCTCACCACAAATTCCTCAGGTTCTGTTATAATAGCCTTCACTATCAATACGTGGCCCTACCCTTTGGACTGGCCTCGGCCCCCAGGACCTTCACCAAGGTCCTTGCGGCCCTGGCGGCTCACCTTAGGAGCATCCCCGTCCGCCTCCACTGTTACTTGGAAGATATCCTTATTCTATCCCCGTCCAAGTCCCAGGCAGTCAGGGATACCAGAGTCACCCTCTCCGCCTTACGGGCACACGGGTTCCTAGTCAATTGGCAAAAGAGCCAACTTACCCCATCCACCCGAATCACCCACTTGGGAACCATAATTGATTCGGTTTCACAAAGGGTTTTCCTCTCTTCGGAGAGGTTCCTTAGCATTCAAGCCCTGGTCAAACAGGTTAGGCGTTCAAGGAGGGTGGCCTTACTTGACCTTTCTAAATTGTTGGGTAAAATGGTCTCGTGCATCTCAATCATTCCCTGGGCCCGTTTACACAGCAGATCCCTTCAGTGGTTCCTGCTCCCGTTCCAAAGATCCGGAAGGAGCAACTCGAAGGCCAGAGTCAAGGTTCCTCCAAAGGTCCTCACGTCTCTCTGGTGGACCAACCCCGCCATCAACAGGGGCCACCTTTTCACGGAACCTCAACGGCTTACCATCACTACGGACGCAAGCCTATCCGGTTGGGGCGCTCACGTCAACTCGCTCTCGGCACAGGGCAAGTGGTCGCCGATCGAGCAAAGATGCAGCATCAACTGGCTGGAGCTTCACGCCGTCCACCTGGCCCTGCGCAGCTTCCTCCCTCAGGTCCGCGGACATCACTTCCTCATTCTCACGGACAACGTCACGGCCAAGGCCCATATCAACAGGCAAGGGGGCACCTAGTCTATCCAGCTGATGAGGGAGGCCGAGCGTCTCTGCCGCTGGACAGAGTCCAACCTCCTATCACTAAAAGCCGAACACATCTCCGGAATAGACAATACTCAGGCGGACTGGCTGAGCAGGGCCACGGTGGACCAAACAGAATGGCGTCTCCATCCATCCCTATTCAAAGAGGCGTCCAGAATATTCGGTCTGCCAGTGGTGTATCTCTTCGCTTCCCCGTCCAACACGCAGCTTCCACGGTTTTTCTCCAGGTACCCGTCTCACAGGTCGGAGAATCACAATGCACTGCGCTGCCCATGGCCCCCAGGGCTCATATATGCCTTCCCTCCGCTCCCGTTAGTTCCCAGAGTCATACAGAAACTCATACAGGAGAGAGCAGACCTTCTTCTGGTGGCTCCCTATTGGCCCAGGCGACCGTGGTTTGCGGACCTCCGCAATTTATCGGTAGCGCCCCCATGGCAGATCCCCCCGGACAGGGTCTCCCTCTCTCAGGGGCCCCTTCTGCATCCGGAGCCTCAATGGCTCCAGTTAGCCGTCTGGAGGTTGAACGGATCCGTTTGACCAGCGAGAAACTCTCCAGTCAAGTCATCGACACGATTTTGGCCGCTAGGAGACCCTCCACCACACGAATTTATGATGCCACTTGGAAGGGTTTTTGCAAGTGGTGTAGTGGGTCCCAGGTTGACCCCCTCTCTCCTTCTATTGCACAGATCCTGGAATTTCTTCAGGAAGGCCTTCGCAAAGGGCTTGCACCTAACACCCTGAGATGGCAGGTTTCTGCCCTCTCAACCGTGGTCTCCTGTGATAACTACGGTTCCCTTTCTCATCACCCCCGGGTTAGATCCTTCCTTAGGGGCGCCACCAACCTGTGCCCTCCCACTGTTCACAGGTTCCCCACATGGGACCTCAACAAAGTCCTCATTTCTCTTACACGTCATCCGTTTGAACCTCTGAGGGAGTCATCCCTTCAATTTCTCACTTTTAAAGTAGTTTTTCTAGTGGCTATTACTTCTGCTCGTCGAGTTTCAGAAATAGCAGCTTTGTCAGTTAGGAGTGATCTATGCGTGTTCCACGCTGATCGGGTGGTCCTTCGTCCCGACCCCACATTCCTACCCAAGGTTAACTCACCCTTCCATAGGTCACAGGAACTGGTCCTACCAAACTTTTGCCCCAGGCCCTCGACGGGCAGGGAGGTCCTTTGGCACACCCTAGATGTTAGAAGGGCCTTGCGTATATATATTAAGCGCACTCAATCCCTGCGAAGATCGGAATCCCTTTTCCTCTCCTTTCAGCCCAGGACACTGGGGCTCAAGGTCTCTCCCTCCACCATCAGTCATTGGATCAGGGCGACTATCACCAGGTGTTACCTTTCTCAATCCCTGCCCGCACCTGGTGGAATAACCACCCATTCCACCAGGAGTGCAGCTACCTCGGCGGCCTGGGCCACGCAAGCCCCCATCGCTGACATTTGTCGGGCAGCCACCTGGGCCTCTCCGTCCCCGTTTATCAGACATTACAAAATAGATATGTATGCCTCAGCGGAGGCCTCTTTTGGCTGACGGGTCCTACAGAGGGTCATCAGTGACCCGGAGGGGCTTCCGGCCCAGACGGAGTCCCACCCGTAGGACAGCCAAGCTTTGGTATGTCCCACTCTCTGGATGCTCCGAGCGGCTCGAGGGAGAATGGGCGTTGGTTCTTACCTGATACGCCCCTTCTCGGCGAGCCGCGAGGAGCATCCAGCCCCACCCTAGCTTCTCCGTCTGGTGGGGACTCTTGTTTCAGCCAAGGAGCCAATAGTTGATTAGAAGGAATTCATAACCTCTCTTCTCGTTATCGCAAAAAACTGGGGAGACACTGCGCGGTGTCACGTGAGGGGGCGGAGCGTTTCCTCATCTAAAGCTCAGCCTGCAAGAAGAGGACTCAGAAGCACATCCCACTCTCTGGATGCTCCTCGCAGCTCGCCGAGAAGGGGCGTATCAGGTAAGAACCAACGCCCATTTTGTCATTTTGCTTTGTATGAATAAAAATTGATTCTATGTAGCTGAGTTCTGAAAGATTAAATCTATGATATGAAGGTATTTTTTATTTGTAAGGTTTTATTATGTATAAAATGTACATGTTTGTTTTCAAATAACAGCTCTCTGAAAATAAGCCCGAGTGCTTATTTTCAACTCCCCCCCCCCACAAAAAATAAGGACTGGGTCTTATTTTTAGGGAAACATCGGTAATAGGCAATTAATGTTATTCAAAGATAATCCAATTTATTTTGTCCTGATTATAATTTTTTGGAATGTTGTTTTTATATATATATTACATGTGTGCATTTATTTAGTGGAGGGAAGAATCTCTCAAATTATAATTGGAATTTGCTATTCTAGTTTGACAAAATGGGGCATTTAACATTTTGAGGGTCTTATTTTAAATTCAGATTTCATCTTTTGGATAGAAGAAAAGGCATAAACATTAAAAGTTAATTAAAAATAATAATAGCATAGATTTTAGCATATAATCTGGATTGTAGCTACTTGATTGGAATAGCATTGAAAATCTAGGGAACCACCTCTAGTTCATACAAAGATTTTTCTACAACTGGTTAAAATCAATTATACACAGGGGTTTTTGTGTGTGTTGGCTATGCCATATGAATCATACATTACTCTTTCTGGATATACTGATAGAATGCCCTTTTTATTTTCTATTTTTTTGCAGTTCAACTTCCTAAACTGTTTTGCCTCATTATTCTACATTGCATTTATCTTAGTTGATGTGAAACTTCTGAGACAGGTAAATTGTGTATAAAATATTTTTTAAAAGCAACTTTCTTGATTTTCTTCGTAAATTAATTGAAGCTGTATATTTTTTCTGTTACTTGATTACTCTATGTTTGTACTTAATTTATATCAAACTTGTTCAAACTATTGTTCAATCTTGAATGGTTTGGGTTAAGAACAATTTTCCTGTCATAAAAAAAATCTTATATTAACTCTTGCACTGATTTATTTGCTAACAGAAAGAATTATTGAAGTGTGTTGTTATAAAGCAGGAATGTCAAACTCATTTTCATTGAGGGGCGCATAAGGGTTGTGTTTAAACTTGGGGGGCTGGGGTGGGTGTGGCCAGCATGACACCACTTCTGTTGGGGAGTGCCTGTAGTGGCCTGTGCGCTCTGCCAGCAAAAACGGGCTCCCGAGCACTGTTTTCAGCTGCGACGGCCTCCTTCAACCTTTTGCCAGCAAAAATTGAGCTCGGGGGGTACACATGGCCCTGCGAGCTCTGTTTTTGATTGGGATGGCTTCCTGAAACCCCCTGCCAGCAAAAACGGAGCTCAGGAAGGCCATGTGCAGCCTCACAAGCTCCGTTTTCACTGGCAGAGGCACCACAGGCCAGTCCTTTGCTATTTCTAGGGTGGCCCCACATGCCAGACCTAAGAACCATACAGGCCGAAATTGGCCCCTGGGCCTTGAGTTTGACACCCCTGTTATAAAGGTTGTTTTAGTATGTGTTTGCTTGTATCAAATTTATAAGACTGCTCTTTATTTACTAAACAATGTTCCATGAAAATACACAGTTTTGCCAGCAATCCTGTTTGTAAATTAAGATTTGCTAAGGTCATATCTGTCATAGTACATTAATGTGCATACAGAACATATACAGGGTTCAATGCCTTCATAAAATATAAAAATTTAAAATATATGCACATCATAGACTTCAAAAGTGTCATGAATGGGGGAGAAGCAGTGAAAGTGTGGTAATGGAATTCAAAATAACCTGTTTACAAGAAAATTTTAAAGTAATAATATTTAAACTTGAGGCATTGTTATCTTTTATTTATTTTATTTTTATTTATTTTTGTCAATTGTTTACAAGAGAATAGGTATAAGTAAAAATATAGTTATGAATACATGTATACATATAAGAAAAATAAAAAATAAAAGAAACAATAGGACAGGGACGCTAGGCATGTTGGTGCACTTATGCACGCCCCCTACAGACCTCTTAGGAAAGGGGTGAGGTCATTGATTCAGTACAGCTCATGAAAGGTAATTGACACCATGAGTGCAAATGAGTTATTTATATTATTATTGCTACACACATCTCTGATATTGACCTCAATACAAAAATCTGGATTAATTCAATATATTATTAAATGTTTATATCAGCACCATTCGCTGGAATTACTTGATCCTTTCATTGGTTTTAAATATAATATCATTGCTAAAGATCTGTTTATTTATTAAATCAATACATATGACTGCTTGACTGTTAACAACACTTTAAAAGCAATGGAAAAAGAATATCTTTTTTTAAAAAAAAATTAAATTACCGTATATACTCGAGTATAAGCCGAGTTTTTCAGCCCATTTTTTGTGCTGAAAAAATTCCCCTCGGCTTATACTCGAGTCAGATTCCCCTCTGAAAAAAAAAATGGTGTGGAGTCGCTGCCGCTGGAGCGGCCCCAGTCCCGCCGCCTCAGGAAGGGAAAGGCAAAGCGCTTTTTGCCTTTCCCTTCCCGGCTGGGGCTGTTGGGAGTCGCTGCCGCCGGAGCGGCCCCAGTCCCGCCGCCTCGGGAAGGGAAAGGCAAAGCGCTTTTTGCCTTTCCCTTCCCGGCTGGGGCTGTTGGGAGTCGCTGCCGCCGGCGCGGCCCCAGTCCCGCCGCCTCGGGAAGGGAAAGGCAAAGCGCTTTTTGCCTTTCCCTTCCCGGCTGGGGCTGTTGGGAGTCACTGCCGCTGGAGCGGCCCCAGTCCCGCGTCGCCTCAGGAAGGGAAAGGCCACGGCTTCGAAGGCCGCCGCTGGAGCGAAGCTGCGCGCAGTTGCTGCGCTAGCATCGGATCGGGCGCGCCGGACGGTTCCGACCGAGCCCCGAGCGTCGTCTTTGGCGCCCGCCCAGCGCCGCAGAGCTCCCTGTACCGGGAGAAGGGGAAGACCCCCCCCGGGGCGGGGCAGGGAGAGGAGCTTCTCCCGCCCGCCCCTCTTTCCGCGCCCACCGGTGTCCCTGCAGGACGACCCTCGCCCCGCAGTCACCGCCGCTTGAAAGAGACAGGCCGGGGTGGGTAGAAAGGCGCCGGGCGCCCTTGGAGGAGAAGGTCCCGCGTTCGCCTGTCTGCCCGCGGATGTCAGCGGAGCTTTGCCGCTGCTTCGTCCGGGGTCTCTGGGCAAACACGTCCACCCGAGCGGGGCTTGTCGCCTCCGGCACGCAACGAGCACTGCCCTCGGATTCCCTGTCCGGTTGCCCCCCTTTTGAGGGCGATGGCAGTAAACTGTTCCCGTAGCAGCGGCTGGGGCCGCTCCAGCGGCAGCGACTCCCAACAGCAAAAAGCGTGTACTGTCTGTTTCAAGTCTCTTTTGGAAATGCATGCTATTATAGATCCTGATTATAACCATTGTTCTCATAGTTATACAATATAATCTCTTTTGAATATACATAATACTATACACTGTAATTATAACCATTATTCTAATAATTATACCACTTTAATCTATAGTCAAATATAGTCCAGTGGTAATCTTGCTTATAGTGTGTATGCTTATATCTCTATATATGTATTTACTTCTATTTTCTTAATCATCTTTAATCATAACGTTACTAACTTCTTCTATTTATTTATTTATTTATTTATTTTATTTTGTCAAGCGATTATAAGATAACAGGTATAAGTATAAACATAATTATGGATACATATAAGAAAAATAAAAAGAAACAATAGGACAGGCTTATGCACGCCCCTTACAGATCTCTTAGGAAAGGGGTGAGGTTAATAGTAGACAGTCTAAGGTTAAAGTTTTGGGGGTTTGGGGAAGAAACCACAGAGTCAGGTAGAGTATTCCAGACATTGGCCACTCTGTTGCTGAAGTTGTATTTTCTGGAATCAAGTTTGGTGAGTTTGTACCTGTTGTGTGCTCTTGTATTGTTATGGTTGAAGCTGAAGTATTCATTGACAGGTAGAACATTGCAATGTATGATTTTATATACTATACTTAGATCGGACCGAAGGCGGCGTAGTTCTAGGTTTTCTAGGTCTAGAATTTCCAGTCTGGTGGCATAAGGTATTCTGCAACGAGTAGAGGAGCGGAGAACTCTTCTTGTGAAATATTTCTGGACTTTTTCAACTGTGTTAATATCAGATACGTAATGTGGTTCCAGACTGATGAGCTGTATTCAAGTATTGGTCTAGCAAATGTTTTGTATTCTGTAGTTAGTAGTGTGATATTATCAGAGAAAAAGCTACTCAGGATTAGGTTAACAACTCTTAATGCCTTTTTGGCTATGTAGTTACAGTGGGCTCTAGCACTTAGATCATTAGAGATGATTAGGGTCCTTGACAGAGTTTGGATCATCAACAAGGTCTTGATTATTCAGCTTGTATTTTATTTTCTGATTTTTTTTGCCAATATGTAAGACAGAGCATTTATTTGTTGAGATTTGAAGTTGCCATTTGTTTGACCATTCTGATACATAGTCAAGATCTTTTTGAAGGGTAGCAGTATTGTCTGTGGTGTTGAATAGCTTTACATCATCAGCGAATAGAACGCAGTTGCTCTTAATATAACCACAGAGGTCATTTATGTAGAGTATGAAGAGAGTTGGTCCTAGAACACTGCTTTGGGAGACACCACTATTGACAGGTACAGAATTTGATAGGACACTCCCAATTTTGAATTTGTCGTGTACCACTGAATCAAAGGCTTTACAGAAGTCTATGTAAATTGAGTCTATTGCTTTGCCCTGATCGAGTTGTGTAGTCCATATGGTTTTGCAGTGTAACAGTTGCAGATTACAGGATAGTTTTTTTCTGAAACCAAATTATTTGTTAGAGAGTAGGTTGTTTGTCTCTAAGTGGAGGATGATTGATTGGTTAATAATTGATTCCATAACTTTACAGGTGATGCAGCATAAAGATATTGGTCTGTAATTTTCAACTAGGCTGGGGTTTCCCTTTTTGAAGATGGGGATGACCGTGGCCAGTGACCATAGGTTTAGCAAGGAGCTGGTCCAGAAGGATTTTTCGAAGATTATGCTTAGAGGTTCAGCTATGGCAGTGGGTAGCTTTTTTAAGAAGTAGGCACATATTCCGTCCAGTCCAATAGATAGAGACGGTTTTAGATTGTATAGTGCTGTTTCAATATTGTCTTCTGTAAAATCGATATGTATTAGATCATTGTAGTTGTCAGTGGTTCGACTAGGAAATACTGGGCATGATCCATTGCTGTTTACAAATACTGATCCAAAGAATGTGTTAAAAACGTTGGCTTTAATGATGTTGCAGTCTTTACCATTAGGTCCTTTCAGGGGTGGGATGGATCTTGACTCTTTTAGTTTGTTGTTTACAAAATTGTAGAAAGCGCAGGTGGAATTGGTGCATAGAAGGTTTTCCTTTTGTTTAATGTGATAATTGGTGCATTCAGTCATTATCTGGTAGCATAAATTTTTGTATTTGCTTTTGAAGTTAGCAACGTGACTAGATTTGTTTTTCTGCCAAAGTGTTTTCTAACCATTTGTACAGTAAATCCCATGTTAAATAATACTCTTCCTCTTTATCCTTAATTTTCATTGTTAACCTGTCCATTTCAGCTCCTTCTAGTATTTTCTTTATTACCTTTTCATCTGTAGGTATATTTTTCCAGTTTTGTGCGTGTGTGATTCTCGCTCATGTTGCATTAAGTATATAATTATTTTGTTTTATTTCCCCCATGGTATACCTAGTAAGAACAATTCTGGTTTTGAATCTATTTGTTGTGCTATCATTTCTTCTAACCACCCTTTTATCTTTGACCAATATTTTTTTGCCATTGGACAAGTCTACCACATATAGTAATAGGACCCCGGTACCTGTTTGCATTTCCAGTACTCTGATGATATTTTTTGGAACATTTTTGCCATTCTCGCTGTTGGCAAATGCCATCTATAGAACGTTTTGTTTCAGATTTTCTTTGCATGCTATTGACATCATTAATTTGTAGTTCCTTTCCCACAGTTTTTGCCAATTGTCTAGTTCTATGTTATATCTGAAATTTTTGGCCCATACAATCATGGTTTCTTTTACATGTTCTTCCATTTTGCAATTAAATAGATAATTATAAATTTTTCTTTGTTAATTTGTCATCTATCCCTAACAATATCTGATCCAATTCTAGGGGTTCCTTATAAAATCCATATATTTCTGCATCTTTCTTATGACTCATTTGTATTTGAACATGTGGCCACCAGTCAGTTCCCTGATTTTTTAGTTCCTGTTTTGATTTTAAGTCCCCCTGTTTGTTTAGATTATCTTTGTACCTTACAATTTTTTTCAATTCTAAAGGGTATATTAGCACTTCCATCATGGATAACCAGACCAGTATTTTCATATAGTGATTTTTCCCCCCATACTGACAACAGAGCATTCTTGATATAGTGCCTTTGGAAGTATCTATGTAATTTACTTTTCCCATACCATACAAATGCATGCCACCCCAATTGTAAGTCATGTTCTTCTAATATCAATATTCTTTTGTTCTTCAAATTTATCCACTCCTTCATCCATGTGAGCACTGAAGACTGATAATACAGCTCCCAGTCCGGTAGTCCAACACTCTCCCACCCACCCACCCCCATTTTTGGCCATTTTCAGTTTGATTCTTGGTTTTTTGCCTTGCCAGATGAACTTTGAAATCGATTTATTTAAGTCCTCACAAAACTTTTTTCCTAGTTTTATCGGGATTACTTGGAATAAGAAAAGCTGTTTTGATAGAATATTCATTTTTATTGTGGCTATCCTTCCAACCTACGACAACTGTAGGTTTCTCCATTTTTCCAAATCTATCTTTATTTGATGTATTAATTTAGTGTAGTTGTCTTCTTTAATGGATGTACATCTTGCTGTTAGCCAAATTCCCAGGTATGTAACATTTTTAATTATCTGGATGTCCATCTTTTCCATCATTTCATTTTTCTGTTTGTTTGTAAGATTCTTTGTCAGTATTTTAGTCTTTTCCTTGTTTATTTTTAATCCTGCCACCTCACTGAACTCTTCTATTTTCTTTATTAATTTGGGTCCCGTTTCTAGAGGTTCCTCTAAAATAAATACTAAGTTGTCTACGAATGCTTGTACTTTATAATGTTCTTTTTTTATTTTCAAACCTTTTATTTCTGAATTTTGTCTGATCTGTCTAAACAATATCAATCACATATAAAAGATGTTGAAGCACTTTCTAATTTGGTTTTTAAATTTTCTTAAAGAGCTTGGCAACTTTACTAATAACTTCACAAGTCCTTAATCAGTTTGTGGAAGCTGCGCTGCCTTATTGGCTCCAAAAGAGAAGGAATAAAACAGTAGAGAAAAAGGTGAAAGCACTGCAGATAGATACTGACATGTCTTTATTTGAACAAGTTAATCTGGAAAGAGGAATGGATACTTACTTGGTAAGCTATCTCTCCTTTCTTCTAATCCTACTAGATTTAATTCCAAGTTTATTCAGTCACATAAATATGTAATTTTGGCAATCTCTGTTATAAAACATGCTATTAAAAACGCTTGGCCATGTTTGTGTTAATTGTGCCTAAAGCTAGTCTGTTTTATGAACTGTAGATTATAAAAATACTTGGATTTTGATATGCCAGGAGAATTCGGTTAGAATATAATAATTTACACTATTTTAATCCAAAATTCCATCTAGTTTACCTGCTTTTGTAAGTGTACAGGTCTTGTCTACACCTAGCAAATAAAATTTGATACATGCCCTCATGAATCCAGACATGAATTGTAATATTTGTCAGTTTTTCTTTTGTTTCTTCATTTTTTTCCCCTTGGTCACAAACAGGAAGAGTTGGCCCAATGGCTGTCATTAATGGAAAAACTTAATTTTGGGGATCAGCCCATATTTGTCATTAGCTCTTTAAGAGTATTTAATTTAGCGTTATGTTTAACAATAATGATAATAATGTAATATATGTAGTATAGAAAATATGATGAATGTACTTGTACTTTGGGGAAGAAAATTATCAAATTGGATGACTCATAGTATTAGATGTACACATTCTTTCATGCAACAATGTCTTGATACTTTTGTTTCCTGTGAAATGAATACATAATATGACTAATTGGACTTCAAACAGCAATAAATTAGAATAGATAATATCATTTTAAATTTATGCTCCGCATTTATCTTTCCAATTAATTAGCCATGTACATAAATTTGCCAGGTGTTACAAAGCTTCCTCTAATCTAAAAAATATTAATAAAATGTTGTCTTTCTTTTCAGGGTACTTTTGATGATTATTTGGAGTTGTTCTTACAGTTTGGTTATGTGAGCCTTTTTTCGTGCGTTTACCCTTTGGCTGCTATTTTTGCTGTGCTAAACAACATCACTGAGATGTATTCCGATGCCTTAAAAATGTGCAGTGTTTTTAAACGCCCATTTTCAGAGCCTGCTGCAAATATAGGTGTATGGCAGGTAATTCATGTAATTCATGTAAATAATTATGCTTTCTAAACTTTATAGATGTTGTTAGCATTGAGAAGATTACATCAAATATAAGTTAGCAGTGAGAAGATTAAATCAAATATAAGTTAAGGTTGACCATTTTGTTCCCCAAAAACTAAATTGCTAACTCTCCCCCCTCCTTTTTTTTTCTTTAGCAGTAAAGACCTGGGGAACTGTGGCCAGTAACATATTTTTTAAGAGGTAACTGGACTTTCTTGTTATCCAAGAAGCTTCTTCAGGTCTGACTGGATGGTGGGAAATGGAAGTATTTATATTCCTTGCAGACAGCTGGTCATTTGCATTCTTTTAGAGAGTTGTTGAGGTCACTTGGAGGTTTATCTATGTGCTCAGGTTTACCTGAGTGGTGCAAATGGGTTGGAGCCTTCTTGGAACTGCTGAAAGGACTGTGGTATAGACTGGAGATAGATGTTGTCATATCCCTCCTCCTTTCTTGAGAGAGGTCTGTTCAGGTTTGACATAGATGGCATCTTTGACCCTTCTTTCAAACCAATGGTCTCTCTGTCCAAAATGTGGACTTTGCTGTCTTCAAGAGTGCCCTTTGTTTTTTAATTGCAGATGGTCAGCTGAAACGTGCTCTGATGGGTTTGTCCTCCTATGTTGTGCCATGTGTTTATGAAGTGGTTGTTTTTGATATGACATCATCTGTCTCCAGTCTAAAACACAGTCCTTTCAGCAGTTCCAAGAAGGCTCCTCATCTATTTTTTTTTATTTGTCAATTGCTTACAAGATAATAGGTATAACTATAAACATAGTTATGAATACATGGATACATATAAGAAAAATAAAAGAAAAAATAAGACAGAGACAGTAGGCACGTTTGTGCACTTATGCACACCCCCTACAGACCTCTTAGGAAAGGGGTGAGGTCAATAGTAGACAGTTTAAGGTTAAAATTTTTGGGGTTTGGGGAAGAAACCACAGAGTCAGGTAGAGTATTCCCGACATTGACCACTCTGTTGCTGAAGTCGTATTTCCTACAATCAAGTTTGGTGCGGTTAACCATGAGTTTGTATCTATTGTGTGCTCTTGTATTGTTATGGTTGAAGCTGAAGTATTCATTGAAAGGTAGGACATTGCAATGTATGATTTTATATACTATACTTAGATCACACCGAAGGCAGCGTAGTTCTAAGTTTTCTAGGTCTAGAATTTCCAGTCTGGTGGCATAAGGTATTCTGCAATGAGTAGAGGAGTGGAGAATTCTTCTTATGAAGAATTATGGACTTTCTCTACTCTGTTAATATCAGATACGTAATGTGAGCTGTATTCAAGTATTGGTCTAGCAAATGTTTTGTATGCTGTAGTTAGTAGTGTGATATTACCAGAGAAAAAGCTACATAGGATTAGGTTAACAACTCTTAATGCCTTTTTGGCTATGTTGTTACAGTGGGCTCTCTAGCACTTAGATCATTAGAGATGATTAGGGTCCTTGACAGAGTTTGGATCATCAACAAGGTCTTGATTATTCAGCTTGTATTTTATTTTCTGATTTTTTTTTGCCAAATGTGAGACAGAGTATTTATTTGTTGAGATTTGAAGTTGCCATTTGTTTGACCATTCTGATACATAGTCAAGGTCTTTTTGAAGGGTAGCAGAATTATCTGTGGTGCTGAATAGCTTTACATCATCAACGAAGAGAACGCAATTGCTCTTAATATGATCCCAGAGGTCATTTATGTAGAGTATGAAGAGAGTTGGTCCTAGAACACTGCCTTGAGGGACACCACTGTTGACAGGTACAGAATTTGATAGGAGGTTTCCAATTTTGACCATTTGTTGTCTGTTTGACAGGAATGCTTCTATCCAGTTATGCAGGTGTCCAGAGATACCATAAGATTTTAGTTTTAATAGTTCGTCATGTACCACTGAATCAAAGACTTTACAGAAGTCTATGTAGATTGCGTCTATTGTTTTGCCCTGATCGAGTTGTGTAGTCCATATGTTTTTGCAGTGTAACAGTTGCAGATTGCAGGATAGTTTTTTTCTGAAACCAAATTGTTTATTAGAAAGTAGGTTGTTTGTCTCTAAGTGGAAGATAATGGATTGGTTAATAATTGATTAACTATTTGGACTACTCAGTTGACCCTGAGGACACAAATAAACCTCCAAATGGCCTCAATGACTCTAAAAGAATGCAAATGCCCAGTTGTCTGGAAGGAATATAAATCTTTCCATTCTCCAACATCCAATCAGAGCTGAAGAAGCTTCTTGAATGAGAAGCAAAGAAAAACCAGAAAGTCCAGTAGCCTTTTGAAAAAGGCACCTTTGGGACAACCAGACTTGGATGACTGAGAATCTCCATAGACAAGGCCACTAACATAATTATTTCATTGCAGTGGGCTGGGGCAGTTTCTCATCCCTTTTAAAAAATTCTGGAGACTTAAAAATAAAAGGATAGACAGAAATTAGATAAGCAAATCACCTTGTTGTTGCTCTCAGTTGAACCAATCTCTTGGATCTCAGCTCTCATAGATAGGATCTCTCTGATTCTATTCTATTCTATTCTATTCTATTCTATTCTATTCTATTCTATTCTATTCTATTCTTTATTCTTTATATTATAAAATAGAATGTCTCTCCCTATTACATTTTGATCCCACCCACTCATCAGCAAAGAAGCCAGGAAGCAGATGCTTTAATGAAAAAACAACAACACTGTAATTAAGAGCAAGAAAAAGTTGCAAATTAATCAACATTAAAAAAACCGTGGCATGATTTCAGATTTTAGATACTCTACAAATGAGTCAGATCTTCATAGCATTATGGAAAAATAAGACTCAGATCCCTACAGATGTTGGGGGGGGGGGGAATATTTCAAAGAATGTGGGGTATCATTGAATAAACCTAGGAATCTGCCAGGGAAGAGGAATCCAGAACATTCTCTCTGGTCAATTAAACAAGGGAAATAAATTCCTCATGAAGAAAATGGTTCTTCAGCTAATGTGGCCAGAAGTCACTTAGGCTTTATAGATTATAATCATCACTTCAAATTGCATAGAACACCCAGATGGCAATCAAAGTAACAAAAACAATATAAGTGTATCATTGTTGAAATTATGCAGATTCTTATCCATTTGTAGGTATGAATGAATATTAAACAGAAGAGTATCAGAACATGTGATTGTAGTAAATACATTTTTCCTTGTTTCTTTTAGATGGCTTTTCAAACTATGACTGTAATCTCAGTTATTACAAACTGTATCCTAATTGGCATGTCACCACAAGTAAATGCACTCTTCCCAGATTCAAAATCTGAACTTATCATAATTGTAGTGTTGGCAGAGGTAAGTCAAGGTTTAAATATTTCTTATATTTTATATATATAATTTACATGTTACATATAATTTCTTGACTACCTTAATCTTGGCAACCAATCAATCCTAAAACTTTCATTTTACTTTATTGATTAGTCCTTGGGCCATATCAAAGTGCAGAGTTCCAGACACAAATTTTTACTAAAATCTGATAAAAACAATTTAAATGGAATTGGATAAAACACAATTTAAAATGAAATTAGAATAAAATATGGTTTAAAATGAAATTGGAATAAAATCCAGTTTAAAATGAAATTGGAATAAAATACAATAATTTAATATATAGATAAATAAAATAGGATATATTTCGGTATCACCCCTATAATCTACCCCAATCAGTCCCAGATATGCCAATCTCAATCGAACCTTTTTGCTTGTGTTGTGATAAATGTTATTTTAAGATTCTGACCGCATATTAGGTAAGTTGTTTTGATATGGGGATCCCAATGGGTTATTTGTTTGGTATATAGACCAAGGTACCTGTCTCTTACCCTCTTATACAGGGAACAATCAAATAGGATATGTGCCAGGTCTTCTACCTCTGCCACTCCGCAAATGCAGAGACATCCATTATAGGGTATAGAATGGAATCTCCCATATCTGACCATTGTGTTAAGCTGTTCAAATCTCGCTTGCATAAATATCTCCCTAAGATGTTTTGGCAGTTGTAACTTCAAATAACTGTCTATTTCAAAAGTATGTTTGTATTTGCTCAGACATTTCAAGTTACCCACCTTACTAAGGATAGCTATATCATTTTGTGCTTCTATTTCCTTAATTTTTTGGGTAGCTCTTTTTTAAAATTGTTTTCCTGTTACAGAAGAGACAAGAAGGCCACAGCTACTTACAAAATTTGTTAGTTTGGTGATCCAGGATGATTATTGTGATTATGATTTTATTTGTTCTAGTAGACTTAACTTGGGGAGTCTATCAGTCTCCATTTCATTGACTTTGTGCCAGTAGTTATGTACTCTAATTTTGGATAGTGCATGAATTGTATGAATTCCCAATTCATCTCTAACTGCTGCAGCAGATGTTCTTAGATCTATACCCAAAATACATAGCAAATGCTGGGACTGTGTTTGTTCTAGTACTGTAGTTGAGTATAGAATATAGACCCCAAACATCTGCTCCATAGGGGCATAGGGGTAACCTTAGCTTTATATACTTTAGTTAATGGGGCTGAGGACCCTGAGTAACTATGATTCCTTAATTTAAGCAACATATTCAAACAAGCTTTTGCTCTAAGTGTACTCCATTGATGATGACAAGCCCAAGATCCAGTCTTGGAAAAAGTTATGCCTAAATATACAAATGTATTAACTGTTCAATTGGTTTATTGTCTAATTGCCATCTATGTCCCTGATGATGTTTTCCAAACACCATAATTTTTTATTTAGATTTATTAATCATTAGGGAGTTATCCTGGCAATAGGAGCTGAATCTTAATAGCCTACATAATCCTACTTGTGAATATGATAATAAAATCATATCATCATAGAGCAAATAGTTACAGTATGTATTTAGGATCATTGGCATATGTACCATGGGATCCTTCATTAACTCTGGCAAGCCATTGATATATAAACTAAATAATAATGGGTCCCTTTATTTGCCTGAATCCTGTTATTATCCCTTTATTTGCCTGAATCCTGTTAGTCAGAGCCTCATTAACTTCATACTGCACCTTCAAACAGGTATTTGTATAAAGGGGTTTTAATCAAAGCCAGCAGTCTAGGTTCTAGTTTAAGAGATGTCAGTTTACTTCATAGTACTTCTCTGTTTACCATATCAAATGCTTCTTTCTCTATAAAAGCAACAAACAGGGATCTCCTTTTATAAGTATATTTGGCAATTAGATGGTTTAAGACAAAGCAGTTGTCAATGGTAGATCGCCTTTGTCTAAAACCTGCTTGTTCTTCTGCGAGGATATGGTTTTCCTCTACCCAGATTTCAATTCTATTCAAAAGGAACCTAGCATATATTTTTGCTACAATGTCAATCACACCGATGGACCTATAATTACTAGTATCATTTTTATTCCTTTTTTATATGGGGACAACTATTGCCATCTTCTACCCATCTGGTATGTGGCAGGTGTTATTTATATGTATAAAAAGACCTGCCAATATCGGACCCCACCAACCAAGAAATTTCTTAAATAATTCCACTGATAAAAAATCCTCACCTCGGGATTTATTGCTCTTTAAGCTTTTAATGATGGATTATATCTCCAAGGGGGAGGAGTTCTAAGGTTTGTTAAATCACTACTTAAAAACAATTTCTCTGCAGGTTCTGTGGAAGCAAATCTACATTGATAATAATTCTCCCAATCCTCAGCAGATATTGGTATATCAAATGCAAATCTCCGTTCCTTTAGGACACCTGCTACAGTCTTCCCAAATGTTACTGAGTTATGACTTTTGGCAGCCAGCTTGAGTTCTGACCAGATTGAAATGGCAAAATGTTTTTCTTTAATTTTATTTATTTAATTTTATTATTATTTTTTGTATTCTCTTCTTATATGCAGCATCTCAATTTATATATGAGTGGTAGGACTTCTCTGAGTGAGTGTCATGGCTGTCTTCAATTTCTTTTTTAACAATTGGCATTCAAAATCAAACCAGCAAGATCTACCCACTTGAAAACTTTTGGCAGGGGGTTTAATTATTAAATGTTTCTTCAGCAAATTGCAAAGATTAAAGAATGCTTTGGAAACTGATAGCCAGTCGGTTGTAGATGACTACCGTGTTTCTCCAACAATACGGCCTCCACCAATAGGAAGACCCAGCATGTTTTCTAGGCATAAAATCAAATTAAGCCCCTCCCCCCAAATTTAGGCCTAGTTTAAAACATGCAAAATAGGGGGAAGGGTGGGGGGACTTGCCATTTGGAGAGCCGTTGGAGCTACCACCGCCATTTGGAGTGCCCTTGGAGCTGCTGCCGCCGTTTGGAGCTGCCTCTGCCGTTTGGAGCCGCCGCTACCATTTGGAGCTGCCTCTGCC